AGCTCTTTCGCATTAAAACTTAGGTATTTTACATTTATTGAAAATCACTTAAGGCCTTCGGAACTAAAAATATCAAAAGACTTAGACAACAAACTTTTGAGTAGTGTGAGGAGAACGATAGCAGGAGTTGGTAAATACTAAACTGTGAGAAGCACATAAGGATTTTTATTAATTTTTTCTTGAATTATAATTTATTGTTTTGTTTTCTATTGATACCATCTTTTGAAATATTATTATTGTTTAAGATAATTCTGAATATTAAGAAATTATTTTTATAATTTATATATAAATTCAATACGCAAAAAATGTTAAAGTATTTAATTATAATAAATAAAGGTTAATTTTTAAAGTCTAATATGACGTGTCTTATGACGAAAAGAAACTATTTTTAAGTAAAAAGGACTCCAACAGTTATGAAGCCACAAAAATTGTTTCGTAACAGCGTTGTATGATCAGTTTAATTTCAATAAATTAATTAAAATTTTTGTTGGCGTTGCTTTATTACTGTTCGAGCCCTTCTAATTTTGTAATACTAATTAAATTATTATTATAGATCAAAATGCACTGTAACTAATACAAATTTATTGTATAGAACGTCCTATTTTAAATTTCCATGAAATTTAATAAGTGTTTATTTTTATATAGGCTAATTGGTCAAAACTTTTTTTATTTTATTGTTGTTAAAAATAAAAAACAAAAATTAAAAATTCACAATTTGATTTTTCAATAATTTATATTTTTCTTCGATATTTCGACTTTAGTCTAAAGTCATCATCAGGAAACTAAAACATTATATTCAAATACTAAACCACTTATAATCATAATGGTAGACAAAAGGGATAAATGTGTAAATCAATATATATATATATTTATATATGTAAATATTGTAAGGAAAGTACAATGTTTTATTATATAATACAATGGTTTTATACTAGTTAATTAATCCTGTACTTGTTTTTGATGTATAAATACTTTTATACATGCTGGGCACCAGTTTGTCAACATCAGTTTTTAATTGGCCTTATTTCAGGTGGAATTTTTAGTATGCAAGCATTCCAAGAAGTTATCTTTGCGGATTGATTTCTTGATGTAAAATTTTTATATTCTAAATCGGTGGCTCCATGCGTGTGTGGAAATACACATGTTGAAGCAAGGGCTGTTTTAGCTTCCACACCGACTTTATTTTTTTTTATCGTGTTATGCCCAGCCATTCTTGTTTAATTTTATTTTTTGTGCGTTCCAACATATACTTGATCACAGGCGTTCATACCTGAAGTAAATACAACCGACCAGATTGACAGTTTATATTTAACTAAATTTTGTTTACATTTCATTACTTAACATTGCTTAAACTAATGCAAAGCATACTAGATTATAACACTTTCTCCGCCCTTAATTTTTGACAAAGTTTAAGTTTTCCTGAAATCGTCGGATTCAAATCGAATTACATCCTTCCGAATACGACCACTTTTTCGAAGTTGAACTACTTCGGTAGAACGTTCTTCACTAGGCATTAATGTTGATTGGCTAGATGAAGGCGGTGTGGCATTGATGAAATTTGAAGCGAATTCAAAAATTGGTTGTGAAGAGAGGTCAGAGCTACTTCTAGTTTTAAGCTGATTAACATGACGTTTGATGTAACCAAAAGATGTGTTCACTCGGTAAACCATTTTACCAAGTTGTTTCACAATAACTCCTTTTATCCATTTTTCCCCTCTTGCGTAGTTTCGAGCGAAGACGGGTTGCTTTAGACTAAATTTCATTTTCCGTTTCGAAGCTTCAAGGTGCTTTCTAGGCGATTCAAACAGTTGACTCAACAAGGTACGAACAGGCCTTCCATGTAAAAGTTCTGCAGGTGATTTACCTTCAGCATTCGGCATTGCACGATATGTTGCAAGATATTTTGATACAGCGAATTTGAGAGACAATCCATCGTCAATGTTTTTCTGAACAGCAGTTTTAAAAGATCTGACGAATCGTTCGGCTAACCCGTTTGAGGCTGGATGAAACGGCGCTGTTGTTATATGTTTGATGCCAAGTTTTGAGCAAAAATGTTTGAATGCTTCAGCTGTAAATTGCGGACCATTGTCACTTACGATGGTTTCTGGTATACCTTCCAGAGAAAATATAGAAGACAATGCTGATATGGTGTCAACCGTTGTTGTTGTAGATAGTTGTACAACGAACGGAAATTGTGAGAAAGCGTCGACACAAATTAGCCACATTGAATTACAAAATGAACCAGCAAAGTCGATATGTACTCTCTCCCAAGGTCGATCAGCTTCAGGCCAGCTTAAGTATTCACGTGCGTGAACAGGATTTGCAATTTTGCACACATCACAATTTTCAGTTAATTGTGCGATGTCTTTGTCAATATTAGTCCACCAGACATGTTGTCGAGCTAGCTGTTTCATTCTCGATACTCCCCAATGACCATCATGAAGAAGTTTAAGAATTTTCTGCTTAAGGGAGGCTGGAATGACAACCCGGTTGTACTCCGTCTGGAGGCAAAGCAAATTGTTGTTTAGTATTAAAGCAAAGCGATGATTGAAAAATGATCGAAGATCAGCATCTTGAGGCATTAGCTTTTCAGGCCAACCGTTTGTAACGAGAAAATAAACTCGGCGAAGAATTGGGTCATTTTTGGCATGCTGACGAATTATTTCAGCGTCGATAGGTGTGTTAAGTTCATTGATGTTGAAACAGGATTCTTCATGATCAAAAGTTTTGTCTTCACCAACAGGTAAACGAGATAAAGCATCGGCATTTCCATGCTCAGTAGTTTTACGATACCGAACATCATACTGATAAGCCATTAGTATAATAGCCCATCGCTGTAAACGATGTGACGTCATCGACGGCAACTGCTGAATTGGATTAAAAATGCTAACAAGAGGTTTGTGGTCAGTAACCAAGGTGAATCTTCTTCCGTATAAATATTGATGGAAACGCTTGACTCCAAAAACGATAGCTAGCCCTTCCTTCTCTATCTGACTATATCGTCGTTGATGAATGTCGAGAGTTTTAGATGCAAAAGCAATAGGCCTTTCTGTACCGTCAACGTACGTATGCGAGAGCACGACTCCTATGCCATAGGAGGAGGCATCTGTAGCTAGAACCAACGGTAAATCTTCCTGATAATGTGCTAATTGCGCTGCATTGAGAATATGCGTTTTAAGAGCTGTAAATGCTTGTTGTTGTGCTGTACCCCATGTGAATTTTACATTTTTTCGGCGCAGCATGTTGATTGGCGCGGATAATTGCGAAAAATTAGGTATAAAATTATGGTAATAGTTTACCTTACCCATGAATGCTTCTGCTTGCTTTAGATCTTTAGGCGGCTGCAGGTTTTTTACTGCTTTTAGTCCTGACTCATCTGGCAATATACCTTTTGCACTAATTTGACGCCCGAGATACTCGATTTTATCTCGTAGAAAGAAACATTTTTCTTGCTTGCATCTGATACCATTTTGTTGCAAAATACGAAGTACTTGTTCTAGGCGGCTGATGTGTTGTTGAAATGTAGGTGCGGAGATGATGATGTCATCGAGATAATTTCCGCAACCTTCTACGCCTTGAAGTAACTGCTCAAGATATCTTTGGAATATAGCTGGAGCGCTTGCAATCCCAAACGGTAAACGTTGGTATTGGAATAACCCAAGTGGAGTGTTGACAACCATTATTGTTTTTGCTTCATCGTCGAGTTCCATTTGTAAATACGCGTCCTTAAGGTCGATTTTTGTAAAATGTTGACCGCAATTAATTTTATGGAAAAGACTTTCGCGTATGGGCAAAGGATATTGTTCAATGTCAATTTGCGCATTGACTGCTTGTTTAAAATCTCCACAAATTCTTATGGAACCATCAGCTTTTGGCGCTAGTACAATAGGCGAAGCCCATTGGGAAAACTTCACAGGTTTCCAAATACCCGCATTTGTCAATCGATCGACTTCTTTCTTGAAAAGTGACATTTGCGAAAATGGAATTTGTCGGCTTTTGTAAAATTTCGGATGTGCATTTGGCTTTAAAAAAATACTGACCTTAAAGTTTTTTATTGTACCAAGAGCTGGTTCAAAAATATCACCATATTTCTTACACAGCTCGCTAATTCTGTGCGATTCACTAACTGATTCACAGTTACAAATTTGTTGAATCTCAAACCCGAATTCTTTAAATAAATCGAAACCGAATAAATTGTTACAGTTTTCGACATCCACGACAACGATTACCACTTCCCTTTCTTTTCCGCCACATTTGATATCTACGCAAAGTTCACCAAGCACTGGAATTTCATTTTTGCCAAAACCAAATAAGGTTTTTGTACAATTTCGCAACTTTGGGCAATTTAGAGTTTTGAATGTTCGCTTGACTTCTTTCTTGAAAAGTGACATTTGCGAAAATGGAATTTGTCGGCTTTTGTAAAACCGACAAGATTGACAGTTTATATTTTACTTTATTATTGTTATTGTTGAAAACACCCGGTTTTTTTATAATTGTACCAACTGAATTAACAGGCATTGAATTTTCAATCGTTTGTTCTTTAATTGTTGCCACCGTTTTAGTGGTTGTTTCGTACAATTCTGCAATCTGCAAAACATCAGCAAGTGTTGGTTGGGGCTTTTGGAACGCAGCCGTGCGCACTGCATCGTGAGGTGTACGTATAATAATTTGGTCACGAATCATATCATCCACGAAATTGTGTAAACAATTCTGGGCTGAGCACGAAAAGTTACACTCTCTTGCCAATCCGCGGAGATCTGCTACCCACTCTCTGTATGATTGATGTGGCTTCATTTCCCTTTTGAAAAAATCGTAACGTGCAGCGACCACATGTCGTTTCGACTGGAAATGATCCGTTAGTTTTTTCGTTAAATTTTCGAAAGATTGTTCTTGTACTTTCGTGTTACCGAAAAGATTTTTTAGCAGCTCAAAATTTTCTGTGCCAATCCAAGACAAGAAAAATGATTTTTGTTTTTCACTGCACTGAACTGAATATGCTAAAAAATGTTGGTTAAGTTGTTCTAAGTACGATTCCCAGGTTTGCTGTTCTTTCGAAAATTTGTGAAATACTGGAACAATGTTGTTATTTCTTTCAGATACACCGGCAGTACCTTGTTTTTGGAACATTGAGTCCATCCACTCACGTTGTTGTTTCAGTAAATTTTTTGAGAACTCTTGTTGTTCTTTAAGCAATTGCTTATAAATTTCACTTTCGCCCGGCATGATTGTATTTAAAATTGAACGGTACGAAATAAGCGTGAAAGCGATTGAATAATTGCAGATTTTTATCCTCGTCGCCAACTGAAGTAAATACAACCGACAAGATTGACAGTTTATATTTAACTAAATTTTGTTTACATTTCATTACTTAACATTGCTTAAACTAATGCAAAGCATACTAGATTATAACAATACCCATCACCTTTGCAACTAATTTGGTATACTACGTTCGATTTGTCCAAGTTATTTATTTTTGATTTTAAGTTGGAATAAAGTGCGTTTATTGTATTTCCAGATCTTAGTGTGATATTATAATTTGCTTTGTCATGAATGTTAGAAGTCAGTATTTGGTTAGAGAGTTTAGGAATATGTATAATGCTTTTGTATGTTCTGTTATCCTTATTTCTGGTGTCATTCTGAAAGATGTTTATATTTTTGATAATTTTTTCCACATTGGAAGAGGGGAAATCATTTTTCTTTAGAATTCTTCTAAATTCTTTCTGTAGATCATTATGGAACGTTGGATCGGTTAGATGTAGAGTTCTTTTTATCATATTTTTTGCTGTATTTTGCACTACATGGTATGGATGGTTTGAATAAAAATTGATGATCCTTCCTGATGCCGTTGGTTTTTGATACCATTTGGTAAAGATGTAATTATTGTGTCTTAACAATTTGATGTCAAGGTAAGGAAGGATATTATCTGTTTCTTCTTCCATAGTAAATTTAATATTTTTATGGAAGTTATTCAATATTCTTAAAGTTTCATCAATTTTATCTGTTTTTACTATCCCAAACAGATCGTCAACGTATTTCGTCATGATTCTGGGCTTGCAGACCATTTCTTCAAGACAGTTATCTAGTAACTCTTCCATAATAATATCTGCTATTATGGGTGAAATTGGTGATCCCATCGGCATCCTTTTTCTTTGTGTATATAATTTATTTTCAAAATTGAAATAGTTATTGTCTTTAAGACAAAAGTTTAAAATATCAAAAAATAAGGCTTTTTTAATTGTTGTAAAAGTCTTTATTATGTTCCATTTTTTCTCTATAATTTTTAAAGCCAGGTCAAGAGGAATGCTAGGAAATTTAATGTTATATAAAATGTTATATAAATCTATACAATTATAATAATTAAAGGTTAATTTTTAAAGTCAAATATGACGTGTCTATATACATATTTTTAAGTAAAAAGGACTCGAACAGTAATGAAACAACAACAACTGTTTCGTAGCAGCGTTGTATAGTCAGTTTAATTTCAATAAATTAATTAAAATTTTTGTTATCGTTGCTTTGTTACTGTTCGAGCCCTTCTAATTTTGTAATACTAATTAAATTATTATTATAGATCAAAATGCGCTGTAACTAATACAAATTTATTATATAGAAAGTTGTATTTTAAAAGTTCATAAAATTTGATACAGTCTCGCCTATAGTTATCACCCCCTGATTATTGGAATGTAATTCCTGGCGTAACCCCTTAAAGTCTATCGGTTGTGATCTTTTCCACTTGTTCCAGTCTAAGACTATAGCTTTTAATGTTATCCAACTACTGCAAAAAAAAAAATTAATATAGTTCAAAGTTTGTTGTCCCAAAGTTTAAAAAATTTATAGAACTTTACGCCTCTTAAGTGATGGAGGATTCAGCTGCTAACAGCAGAACATTCACCGACATTATTTTGAATTTTATTTTTTGATAATACAAAATCAATAGATATCACCCTCGGTAAAATATAAGTTAAAAGATACCTTAGTTAGGTTACAGAGCGCTAAAAAGCAACCACATAAAATCCGTAATTTGTATTATGCATATTAACGGATTTGAAAAAAAAAAGAAAAATATACAAAAACAATATACCGAATTTGTAAAATATTTATAATTTATTATTGTATATTTTATGAAGCTCATGCAGTTGGTGCACTAAGAAAGCAAAATGGTATACAGAAGTATATAACACTCTGATAACGAATAGGTGAAATTGTTTGTAAGTTCTGAAATCAGCATTTATTCTTCCGCCTGTTTTGCTGGTTTATTTTTTTGTTAAAGCAAAAAACTCTATGTATTTTTAAGGAATTGTAATCATTTATTATTGATACACATAAATATTTATATTGTGCATTTATAATATGCACATTATTACTTGTGATGTTGTTTTTTCATTCGGTATTCTTCATTGAGAGTTTCTAGATTCACACTTAATATATCATACTAAACACGTCGCAAGCTTTTTAGATTCAATTATATTAAAAGATATTAAATTTAAAATATGTAAATAGTTTTTTCCTAAATGTGACTACAAAATAGATACACTCAAAATTTAGAACGGCATGCAGCTATCTTTGTACCATTAATTCTTAGTAATGTTATATCTATGACTCCATAAAACTCTAAGGTAATACCGCTGTTGTTAGTACTAATTTTGAAGTGGAAAATCTGATTAACCGCGAAGCGATCAACTGTTTTGTCAAAATATAACAAATTAGATTATTAATTAGAAATTAGAATTTGGACACGTTTTATAAAATCCAGATGGCAGCGCAGTGAAACGCATCCATAAAGGAAAACCATATAGTTCCGGAGCACTAAGGGGGCTTAGAAATTGGTGGCTAAATGGAAAAGAAGAACAGAAGAATTATGAAAATCTTAAATAACAGAAACAATTACATAATTTATGTATATTGGTAAAACGCTGTGGAAAAGGTGTAACTGAACCCGAATTCTGAAGAAATCAATAACCCACAACATATTGTAATAGCAAAAAAGAACGTTGAATAACAATGATGTTGACTAACTTTATGAAGTTGGTATAACTGGTAGACTAACTATTCGAAGGGGTTTCCGTATAACTCCTATCAAGCTATAAAGGGTTAAACATTTTCTGAACTAAGGAATAACTCACAGTGTACAATGCAATTAATTTGAGTATTCTGAATATCTACATTAATTAATTTGTGATATATTGCTAAAGAATGAAAATGAAAGTAAAAAGATTTATTGAAAAAAAGCTGCCAATATCTTTGACTTAGAAACATTTACATCAAATCAATATTTAATCACTTTACGTGTTAAAGTTGAGAGCATAAACCAATAAGTTATTATGTCCCACATATCAGTATTAAATATATAATTACTTTTTATAACACGAAAATACTATTATTCATTTCATTATAGTACATATTATAGTAGAATTTCAAATGTGCTTATTTTAGTAAACTTCAATTTAGAAATCACATTTTCAATCACTCACCTTGGAGGACCTTTTCAACTTCAGCTGGATGCTTTAACAAGGATAACAAAGATTAGCAACTCCCGACATAATTTTTGAGGGCATCACAATGGGTAATATATGCCTCCGAGTGGAAGTGTAAATTGTAATTAATAATAATAAATTAAGTGCTTTTTGAACCTAACCTAACCCTTAGACGACTGGATATTGTAGCCCATATATCTAACTATACTTTCGTTAATTGTAAACCATACGCTCAAAAGTGTAAACCAGTAGGAATTCATTTCATTGTAACTCGATATCAATCATTCAAAATAAATCAATAATATTAAATACAGATATGAAGAAAACTCAATAATGACTTTAAGTCTTAATTTTTTTTTTTAAATTCAATCAAAGAATATAAACTATTTGAATATTGTAATACTTAATTGAAGGTTTCATAGGTCAACAATACCAATTGCACCAACAGCCTTTAAATATATTTCCCATGCCCTTTTCATTATTTACATTGAAAGTAA